ATGGGATATTCTTCTCCTCATCATCTCCCATTCAGCTTATGGCCTATGCGGATGCTGATTGGGCTGGATGCCCTGACACCCGATGGTCCACTACTAGCTAGTGTGTCTTCCTAGGCAACTCCCTTATCTCCTGGAAGTGCAAGAAACAAGCTACTGTGTCCAAATCTTCCACTGAAGCTAAATACAGGGCTATGTCTTCTGTATGTAGTGAGATCATATGGCTTCGGGCTCTTCTATTTGAAATACTAAATGAGCCATCATTGTATGTTCCTCTTTATGCAGACAATATCAGTGCAATAAAAATTGCATCCAACCCCGTCTTCCATGAGCGCACCAAACACATAGAAGTTGATTGCCACTTCATTCATGATCTCCTTCTTGAGGGTACAATATCTCTTCCTCATGTCTCTTCTGGGCTTCAACTAGCAGACTTGTTGACTAAAGCAATGACACGGGCTCGGCATCTATTTCTCATGGACAAACTGATGCTTATTCCTAGGCATCAGTTTGAGGGGGAGTGTAGAGACAGTGAAATCTAGCCATAGGGCTATTTTTGTACTTTTACTTTTCTTTGTTGTATATCTATTCTTTGTATTATTTCTCTCCTGTACATTAAGGGCAGATATGTCCTTTTACATCTTAATATAAATATATCTTTTAGGGTGTCGACTGACACAAGGTGTCACACCCACCATTCGGTTGTTTTCTCTCTGTCTGCCTCTCTCTTTCTCTGACTTTCAAACTGACTCTGACATTCTATATAGCATTAGTAAGGAACCAGGAGGAGAATTCCCAAGTGGCTGGTGTGTGGGGTAATCCAGTTCCCCAGAGAGTGGAGGCCTTTGTTTGGCTGGTGACCTAGGGCTGTATTCTAACTCAAGATCATTTGATGAAAAGACGGCTTCAGCTGAAGATTTTCTGGAGTTGTATGCCTTTTGCAATCTGTTGGGAGGTGTTGAAGGAGAGGAAATGGATGAGTTTTTTAAGGGAAGGGAAAGGGCAAGGAGAAATTGTGGGAAGGGATAAGTTCAAAGCCGGTTGATTGAATTTTATGTCTACAAGACTTTGAGGGGGTTAGAAGAGAGGATTTGGGGGATGATTTTAGGTGTACTTTAGAGCTGTAATGAATTGTCTAATCAGTTTTTCTATTCTTTTGTTTCTGGATGAATTTGGTGATGCCTCATCACCTGCATATCTTGTAACTTTTTTCTATTTTAATGAAAATTTCTTTTCTACTTACCTTCAAAAAAAAGGAGAGCAAGAGAGAGAGTACTGACAACCTCTCCTGCAGTGATTAGCAACATTAGCTAATCTCCACTCTGGATTGTTTACTATAATTCATCCCCACATTAGAGCAACCAAAAGGATCCATTCAATCCCTGAGGGGAACCACAGAAATAGTCATTAATATTTTAAAGTCTCAAGGCAATGATTAATGCCACTTTTCCGGAATCTAACAAATATTATTCTGAAGAAGAGCAAAGCATCTCTTTATGACCATTTTAAAAGAACCAGAAAACATTCAACATTGCACCCAAATGAAGCAATAAGGTCCCTATTAAAACCGCTTTTTTCATATGAGCAGTTCAGTAAAAAATCCTAGTAATTTACCATTTTATTAATCTGGAAAGCACTATGCACTTGGACACAGAAACGGTAGATATCAACCATCCAATGCCCTTTACAAGACACACTCAGAGATCCCGCATAGTAGGATTTACATAGACTGGAGTTTTTCCCATAAACCAAGACAGATTAGGAAGTTCTGCTTTTGGCAATTTGCCAGTCCTTATGCAACCAACTATATGGGGTCAGCTACATGAATCCTGTTTCGCCATTCCATTCTGCTTATGCCATATTCATTGTTAAATTATGAGTGCTTAAAATCATTTCTTACTACTTCAACCCATGTCCTTTTTGGCCTACCCCTATCCCTTCTAGCCTCTTCAAACTTGCAACAGATCACTTCTTCTTACGGGTGCTCTTGATGGTCTTCTAGGCATGTAACCAAACCATCTTAATCTACTCTCTCTCATTCTATCACCTATAGGAACTACTCCAAGGTTCCTTCAAATAACTTACCCTATCCTTTCTAGTGTTTCCACTCATCCATATGCATTTCTACCACACTGATTTTTTGGACATGTCGTTTCTTGACTGTCCAACACTTCAATCCATATAGCATAGCTGGCCTTACAACTGTTTTGTAGAAGTTTTTTATTAGTCTAAGCAATATTCGCCTATCACATAAGACTCCAAATCCAGCCTTCCATTTTGCCCATCCCACTCTAATTCTATGGGTAACATCCTCCTCAATCTGTCCCTTGTTCTGACATATTGAACCAAGGTACTGGAAAAGGTCACATAGATTTTTTTTATCAGTAACAGAACCAATTCATTAATGAAAAAAGGTTAGGTACAAGGCAAGGGAGATAAACTCTCTTAACTCCCCCAAAATTAAAAAATAAAAATTACAAGCCCAGAACAATTGATTCCTTCCCACCCCTTGTTTGGCTAGTGCATTTGCAAACGAATTAGCACACCTCTTACCCATTGAAACCTCACTGTCATGTCTCGGATCCACCATTTGAAAACTCTCTTCTCATTTAGGTAACTCCACATTCTGCTTTCCTCTTTTGCAACCAGTCTATTACCAGTTTCGAGTCTCCCTTAATAACTAACCTCCTTAAGTTGAGCTCCTTTGCCTTTTTGACACCATCCAAAACAACTACTAGAACTACTGCCATCAAAGTTATCTCTTGGAAAAGGTCACGAAGATCTGATCCTAAGTGTACCCTGATTTTAACTCCTATTATTATACATAGCATATATTCTATTTTCAAAAAAAAAAAAGCATATGTTCTGTTTAAGTCCTACTTATTTTAAAACCTCTTATTTTCCATTTTCCAAGGTAATTGTCCATAAGTAATTTTACATTTAATCCTTCATTAGTTTCATTAATTAAAACAATATCATCAGCAAATAACATGCACCATGGTATCTTCTCCTAAATATGTTTAGTCAATTTGATTAATGCAAATAAATAAGGGCCAAGTGTCAACCTTCGTGAAGACCCATCATAACTGTAAAATCTAATGTCAATGTTCTAACATGGGTTGTTGCATACATATCCTTAACTAGGTGTACATATCTACTTGGAACCCCTTTATTTTCCAAAACCCACCATATTATCTCTCTAGGGACTCTATCATATGCTTTCCCCCTAGATCAAAGAACACCATATGAAGATCTCTCTTCTTCTCTCTAAACTTTTCTATCATCTCAAAAGAAAGATACATGGCTGATCTCCCTAGCATAAACCCAAATTGGACCTTTGAGATAATTGTTTCATGTCGTAGCCTTTTCTCAATTATTCTCTAACAAAGTTTCATAGTATAGCTCATGAGTTTAATCCCCCAATAGTTATTTTTTTAATCAATTCCCCCAATAGTTATTACAACTTTATATGGCACCCTTTATTCTTAAATATAGGCACCACGCTTCTCTTTCTCCATTCATCAAGTATCTTCTTTTCTTTCATTATCTTATTAAATAGCTTAGTTAGCCATAAAAAAACCTGTCTCTCCCATTCCTTTCCACACTTTCATTAGGATACCATCAGGTCCTGATACCTTTCCTTTCATCTTATTTAGTGTTTGTTTCATTTTAGTAGTTTTAATTTTACAAAGGTAATGTTTTTTAACACTATTAGTGTTATTAATCTCTCCCCATTAATGCCCTCTAAATGTTTTTCATTTAATAATTTTGCCATCTTTCCTTGATGGAAATACAGTGTTACACAACTTCTTTGTGTTTGCAGGTGCAAGGTTGTCCCTCCCCAAACCCCGCATTAACAGGAACCTCGTACACTGGGCTGCCATTTGCCTTTCCTTAATTTGCTCATATTTTACCAAGACTCTTTGATCTTCCTCTTTAATGTATCTAACATGGTTTAAGTCTCTCCTTCCTTTCTCTCATCTCTGCTAATTATAAATTCTTTGTCCTCCCTCTTTAGTGCCTAATTTATGATAGAGCTCATCATATGCCTTAAATTTAACTTCCTTCACTTTGCTTTTCAACTTCCACTTTTATGGTTATATATTTTTCCAGGTTTTCTCCATTTTTATTATTTTGCCGATCTTTCAGAAAAACATGCTTGTCTCGGCCTGGTTATATTTTAAACCTTTTCATTCCACCATCAAGTTTCTTTAGCACTTTTCCATTTGGTTTCTCCTAAAACATCCTTTGCCACTTTTTTATGCAATTTATCATTTAAAGCCACATATCATTAGTATTTCCATCTTAATTCCATTTTCCTTCTATTGTCAAGTTATCTCTAAATTGAGCTAGTTTTTCTCCTTTTACATTTTCCCACCTAATTCTTGGACACCTATTTTCTTCCCTATTTCTCCTAAAACAAGATGCTTATTTTCGAATAGAAATTATACCAATGAAAAAAGGAATTATTGAAACATTTTTGAGCCTGCAATTAATATGGGATTGGGATTTGATAAAAGGATTTCCAAGGGATTCCTTTGCCTTTCTTTTAGGATGGTTGACTTTGTAATCAATGACACTAGCACTTATTGGAGATCTCACATAAATCATTGTATAGTTTTACAATGATCTATTTTCATTTTTTATATAGTAGCCCCCCTAAACCCTCCCTGTTATTTAATTAAGACATTTCCTTATCAAAAGATCAAAAGAATAGGTAAAATGACTAAATTACCCCTGTATCTAATAGTGGAGAGAATTACAACAATTAGTAACCTTACTTTTCAACTTTTCATCATCAGCAAGTTGCAAGTAAAACAAAAGAAGAAAGTCATTAACAAAGTGCAATTAGCCACTAATCAAGAAAAAAAAGTGCAAGTAATCAGCATATAGATAAAATAGTCACGCATGTACACTTTTCTTACATACTCCAGTACAACTGCTTTTCCATCATCTATTAATGCATACCAATAAGAACCAAAAGTAAAGCAAAATGAACTAACCTGGCAAAGATTCCCATGTAGAATCTTCAAATTCACTATCATAAAAGTTCTTAGGAATACTTGTTGGACTTGGGGCCAAGAAAAATTTCCAATAGTCTGACAATGATTTAACAAAAGGCAAGCCCTTGACCCACCAAGCAGCACTATCAAGAGCTCCAGGAACAGCATCATCATTCCAAGTAGCTGACTTAGATACTAGAAAATCCACATTGTTTCTTTCATACCAGTATCTAAGAGATCCTATACAAACAGCAGAGTGTAAGATAATTGACTTCTTGATAGTTAACAAATAGATAATATACAGGATTAATTACCTGCCACATCACATGAATAGATAAGTGAAACACGATAAGGTAAGAGCAATGCACAGAGTTCTTGTCAAAGAAAAATTATTAAACAAAAGAAAATAACAGCCAAGAGCAATATATTCAAAGAAAGAGTATGATCTTATTCCTTATTCGCCAGTCATACAAGACTACCAACTGCGCCAATTAGAAGAAGTGATTTGTTACTCCTTGAAGGGGTTAGAAGAGCTCAGGGTGGTAAACCAAAAAGGACATAGGTAGAAGTAGTAAGAAATGATTTAACCACTAATAATTTAACAGTGGATATGGCTTCAAATAGAACTTAAATAGAACAGATTGGTGAAACAGGATTCATGTAGCCAGCCCCATATAGTTGGGACAAGGCACGGATGACTGTGATGATTCACCAGTCATAATCTCAGGTTGACAAGCATGAGAAAACGGGTTCAGGTCTGAGAGTGACCAATTTGTGCATGAAAAATGTCAAAGCTTAAGTCCATATCCAGTCTGTATTCACTTTATGCATAAACTGTGTTTGGAATTAGAAAATCACCACCATCTTCAAGACCATCACCATCATCCCAATTGATCATTGCCCTTGTTACTGTCTAAGAAGGCAACAAAGCATCGCTGCTAATCGCTGCATCATAATCACTATGTAAGCCGACTGACTCCGGTGAGGCGGTGGTGGTGGTGGTCTGACTCTAAACGTCCAGAGGAGAATAGTGGTTGGAGAGAGGTCGGTGATTCTGAGAAGAGAGAGGGAGGAAAAAAGGAGGAGAGAGAAAATGAGGGTAATGGCCCTTTTTTTCAATGGCGATAAGATCAATAACTTCGTTTCTTTTTTTTTTTGTCAACAACAAGAGAAAGGTCATGGTATTAAAGTATGAGCACAAGGATCCATGGGACCCCATGGTTTAAGGTATTTAAGGAGTTTTCAGGAGCCATGAGAGGGAGATTCTTCAGGTGTATTCTAAGCCAGTGAGGTGGAGCAACTCTATTAGCAAGTTATTATCTTTCTTTATAGAACTTTGTCTCGCCTTTGCTCTTGACTATTCTAGAGTGGAGGGGATGGGGGTTCCGAAGTGGATGTGAGTTGTATGAGAGAGGAGAATGAGACTTGGATCTACTGGCATTGCATTAGAGAGGATGTGTGTTTAGCCACCAGAGGAAACATCTTATTTTTCTGTATCCAAAGATCTGCTAATGACCTAACTGACTCTTTTGATGAGCCAATAAAAAAAAGTTACAAGTACAAGATGAAAAAAGGAGGAACAGAGTAGTGGGATATGGAATCCTAGACAACCACCAGTAGACGTACTGATATTAGTTCTAATTAAATATTTCGTGCATAATGGTTCATTCTAATCTTGCAACCATCTTACTCAGTAACAGATGTCAGTCATAAAATCCAATAACTGTGAAAGAGCAGTGAAGACATGACACATAAGAAAACACTTGTTAAACCAACATTCTTCCTGTTAGTTATTGACAATAAGCTGCTACTAACATAGAAAGTCAACATAGGATTTTACCTTCAACTGTATCATGGCAGTGAAGTGAAACATGAGCATCTCTTTTTCTCCACTTAATGAAGGAGGGATCTTCCCAGACTTTTTGGCCATAACCCGAGGGGAAAACAAGTTGGGCAACCAGAGACACCATAGCCTGATCACAACTACAACAACTTAAGTCTTGTCTGTCCAGAGAAAATCTTGGATACATTAAAAATAAACTTTTTTCCTATGTTTCAATGTAAGACAGCATTAAATCCACATAGATGTGCAACAAAAGAAGTACAATTCCAAACCAAATATGTTGATTAACATCATTATCATCATCATCATCCAAGCCTTAACCAACTATATGGGATAGACTACATTATTTAATGCCATATACATTTTTTAATTATTAGCGCTTAAATCATTTCTTACTACTTCCACCCATGTCCCTTTGGTCTACCCCTAGCTCTTCTAACCCCATCAATTTTCAACAAATCACTTTTTCTTATGGGTGCTGTTGATGGTCTTTTCCCATCCTTTCTAGTTTTATACTACAGTCATTTTTATGGACATGTTGTTTTTTGACTGCCCTACGCTATGTTCATGGCTCGTCTTACAAGTTACAAGTTACAACTGTTTTTATAGAAATTTCCTTTCACGGAATATTGATTAACATAATACACAAAATAACAGAAATACCCCATGTTTTCTGCAGTCCGAACACAGTATGAACTATGAAATCTAACAGAATAAAATAAGGGAGAGAGGGAAAGATCAAAATCGACAGACGGCCTTCGGATGCATCTTTTGTAACAGAAAAGAGAGGAAGGACCGATGTCTTATACTCACCTCGCGCTTGAATGTTGATAAGCAAAAAGGATTGGACAAAGCACAAATTCAGTCTCTAGTCTCTCGGCTTCGTGAATGGTCAAGTTGATCAGTCCATAGAATGATTCAATGGTGATTTTGTTGCATCTTCTCTGATATTTTTGGGTTCAATACTTCGGTTTCGGATGACTCTGAACTGAAAGTGCTACTCCTTTGCTACCGCAATGCTGACGTGGTCCATCCAAGCATTGGACTCAACCAGCCTCCACGTGGTGTTAAGTACAAAACCACCCATTTCCGGATTCAAATACAGCATCCGAACCGGGCTTGAAAAATAGATTGTTAACATCTCTCACTGCAAATCAATCAGATGTAATGTTAATTAGGGTTGTTCACGGTCGGGTTGGGTTGGTTTACTGGCGTTTTTCCAATCGATCCGATCGGTTTGAGTCGGTTTTGTGAATGATTCTCTCGGTGTGAATGGTAAAGGATTCAAGTCTAAAAAAGCAAAGCTGGATGCCTGGAAATTAAAAATGATTTGATGGATTGAAACTGATATTTTATATATAATATGTACATTTTTTAAATAAAGCTGACATATATATATATACATATATACATCTAAGTTGATTCGGGTCGGTTCGGTTTTCATGAAACCAAACCAAACCATCGGTTTATGTTTTTTTGTAACCCAAAACCAATCGATGCTGAAGAAAAACCGACCAACTCGGGTTGGTCGGTTTGGGTCTTGTTATGAACAGCCCTAATGTTAATGACTCATCAAAAAAATGGATCAGATGTAATGTTATTCGAATTCAGCCTTATTAATGTGAGACCGGATCTCCTGCCCACAAATAAGAAGGGTCCATCTGCTTTGCAATCGGATTCAAGATCAAAATCTCTCAAAATTCGAATTGAAATGGTCTATTTTGTTCACTTATTTGGGTCAAATTGGAATTTTTAGTTACTAAATCGACTGGAATGAGACTCTCATTTCCAAGGAACTTAAATCAGGGAATGTCATTTGTCAAGAATGGAAATTGGATTTCAATTTCATTCAATCAAAAAGTTGAAATCGGAATGGACCATTTTGATTCCGATTCTGAACCACTATTCCCGCCAATCAAACAGAATCTAATGTTCTTTATGTCCCGATGTGGTGTGGATTAATCTTAATTGCATATCCCTTTAACATCAGATATAAATATGATATGTTCATTAGGTTGCGTTTGGTTACAATGCAAACGCAAATATGTACACTACATATTTACCCATTTTTCGATTCATGAATGCAAACACAGTTCATATTTTAAACCGTTTTTGCATTCATCCTGTTTGTTTAAAATCGGTGCAAAGGTGTGGGCCCATCATTAACTGCTCCAACTATCTTATGCTCAAATTCCTCAACTTTGGTCAAAAAGTTAATTATCAAATGAATACAAATTTGTATCCAAAAAATAGGTACAATAATGCTCTCTTTTAAGAGTGCAAAAGTGTCAGAAAATGCAAATTTACTTTAATAATCATTACTTTTTTACGTTTCAAACAAGCGCTCGCAAACGCGAACCAGGGTGCATAAATACCCCGGTTCGGCGTTTGTATCACAAACAAATGCAGCCTTAATGGGGCCAACGAAGCCGGAAATTACTGGATTCAATCTGTGGGATCCGATCCCATACCATTATAATATTTTTAGTATTAAAATTCTTAATGGTTATGTTGAATTTGGGATTCATATCAAATCCATATAATTGTTTAGATTTATTCCTATTTTAATCAAATCACATATGGTAAATTGCTGAAATCTCCACTGAAGTTTCTAACCATAGCTAAAACCACCCTTGAAGTTTGGTAGTTGCAATTACCTTCGCTGAACTTTTTTACACAATAATAGACCCCTTGTGTAAGAATCCTCCAACAAGAGGCACAAAATGTCCAAAATATCCATGTAATAACTTTTGACCAAATTTATTTTCCATTTTTTTTTTGTATCAATCTCTACCACATGCGGCCAAACCCTTCCAATCTCTTTGTCAAAGTTGATTTATTTTCCAAAATACCAAACTTTTGTTGTTCATAAAGTTTGTATTGCTTTCTGTAGAAATCAGCCTCGACAATAGCTTCATAGGTATTTTGGACATTTTTCCATGCCTCTTGTTAGAGGATTCCAACAAAGGGGATCTACTTGCAATTGTGTCAGAAAGTTCAATGGAGTTGATTGCAATTACCAAACTTCAAGGGAGGTTTCAGCAACAGTCAAAATTTTCAGTGGAGGTTTCAGCAATTTACCAGCTTATATAGACAAATCGAACTTATCCGCAATTACCTCAAGCTTGGATCTCTCAAATCCTTCATGGATCCAACTCAAATTTGCCCCACTATCCGAATTTAATCCAATTCATTTGTAGCCATATTTTGTTGGTTCATGTGAATGGATTGTAATTTTAATGTTTTTTTATTAATTTATGGATTGTAATTTTTACATTCTCCACATTACATTAATGTGGGTTTCATTTAAACCCATTAGTCCAAGGAGGTGGAATTATGCTCAAGGACTATGGGGTGTAAGTGAGTCAAACTACTTACAAGCCACTTGAGCTTGGTTCACTAAATGCTTGAACTCGACTTGAAGATAATCAAGTTTGAGCCAAGCTTGACTCGAGTCAAGTATTAGTTGCAACAAATTCGAGCAATACTTGCCTCAAGTGTCTCACGAGATTAATCAAGCTTATAATAAAAATACTAAATTTTAATATATTCTTATTGATAATTTAAATAAATGAATTTATAATTGAGTTGCATAACAAATTTTATTTTTAATAATTTTTATATTAGTTTATGTACAATTTTTAATATTAATTTATTTATAATTAGTTTGGGTAGGAAAACTTGAAACTTGGTTGATCTCAAGTCAAATTTTGAGCTCCGAGTTTTTAATTTGAATCGAGCTCAAGTAAACCAATAATCGATTCGACTTGACTTGAGTACAACCTTATCAAGGACAATGTTTTAAACAAGCCTCAACCTAAAAATTTCCCTTCCATTTTTATTTACTTTCTTACCCTTTTTCACTTCACAATAGCTATTACACATACTATAGATTGGAATTTAGAGGCATGAGAAGCAAAACTAAGCATCTAATGTTATAGGGTTTAAGAAAAAAAATATATGGGATAACTATATTTTGGATTAAATCTTTAGTAATACTAAGTATCTTTGTATCACGTTTTGTGATAAAGAAATAAATTTGCAAGTCATAGTTGCAGCCAAGGGTTAGTTTGGAAAGAGTACAAATAAAAATGTACACTGAAAATACATACAAAATACAAGGTTTTGCACTCTACATATCTGCATTTGTACTCCTTCCAATGCTTAGTTTGGAAATAGTACAAATACAAATACACACAAAAATAGTTCAAAATACAAAGTTTTGCACTATTTGTACTCCTTTCAAACTAAGCCTAAGGTTCAGTTGGAAATAGTACAAATACAAATATGTATAATACAGATACATACAGAATACAAGGTTTTGCACTTTACATAAAGTTTGGAAGAAGTGCAAATACAAGGTATAGAAATACCATATACAAGGTTTTACACTATACATATTTGTATTTGCACTATTCCCAAATGAAGCCTAATGGGAATTATCTTTTTAAGAATTCAAGTGTCATAGTCAAGCATCGAAGCATTTGCCAAAAACATTTGGAACATTGCAAAAAAAAAAAGTCATAATTAACCACATGGATGGAATTGGGAGTTTGGGTTTAATGATGAAAAATATACAAAAACAATCATTAATGGTGGTCAATGGTTCTTTAGGAGCAATGGATGATCATGGAAGCATTGGAAGACAATGCAATTGGGTGCAAATTTATTATTTCATGGGCCATATGTAGAAAACAACTTATATGAAATGTTAGAAATTGAATTGATTGTGAATAGCCCATGTTTTATTTATGGATTAATAACTTATAGGGTTAAATACTTAAGCACCCCCTAAGGTTTAGCAAATGGACATTGTTGGTGCTCAGATTGGCCGAGGTCAACACTATCAATTCACCCCTAAGCCCAAGGGGATCCGATGTGCTAGAATCCGAGGGCTAGCGTGACCAAGGAGCGGAGTCTTCAATGAGGGAAATCTGAGGTCAGAGGTCCACTACGTTTGGTATCCAAGGTAGATGAGGATCCCGAGGTCAGTTTTGCAAGGAAGGGTAATGTCAGAGGCCTTAGGTGAAGACCCGAGGCGTGGATTCCAACGATCAAGTTAGCAAGAAGGTACGAAGTGGATGAGGTTTGAGGTGTGAACACCCAAACGAGGTCATGGGAGAGCAAGAGATCTCAAGAATAAGTTGGAGAGCTAGAGTTTTCGATCCCCTTGAGGGAGTTGCCCCTATTTATACTTGTATTCGCCTGGAGGTAGGTGAGCTCGGACGGTGGGGATTGAGTTTGTAAGCAGGGTACGTGGCCATCCCAGGGCACCAAGTGACCCCACGCCATTGGTTCCCCACTTGGCGCCGAGCTATGTAGTGTGCACAAGCTGATTGGCTCAGCCTTGACGCACGCCGCCTGACACGCGCGAGTCCTACAATTGGTTTGGGCCATCTGCGCCTACATCAGACATGAACTTACCCTACTATTTAAGAAATTACTTAAAATACCCCAAACATTTCTGATAATAGATAAAATCGTTAAATATGAACGAAGAAGGTAAAAAGACCTTAATGCCCTTCCATCAAGTGAACTGTAAAAATGCATTCGAAGGCAAGATGTCTTTCTTGCCCAATGTCTTCATTGTTACCTTTTCACCGCCAAATGGTAAAATGTAAAAACGATTTTAGAGGAAGCAAAGTGCTACAAATCCGAGCTTCATCTCCGATAACCATTGCAAATTCTAGCAAAATAATCTCTTGTTACCAACGGTAAGTAGCATATTTACTTTGTTGTCCATTGGCTAAACCTCCGAACAGGATTTTTAAACCTTAACCCCAACTATAGATAAGATAAGAGCAAGCGGCAAAAATAACAAGTTTTTTTTTGTGGTTTGTGCAGATAATTTGTGGAGGGATTTGCGATGAGATTCGTTGGAATATTTATTGTTCAGACATTACCTATATGTGACCACTAAGGTAAGCGCAGAAGCTGTCATGTCTGATATATCTTTTTCACCTGTCTCATCCTTTGCACTTTCCATATCCTTAGTTAATTGTTGTGGGGACCAAGTGTGTGTTTCTTCAATTTTTTACTATTG